TTGGCCAACCAATGATTCCGGCCTGGAAAAAATGTGCTTGCAGCACTGGCCGAGAGAATGCTGCTGCAGCCAGGCAACAGTGATTGAAAATGTTCGAGGCCAGCAGCAACATGGCCGGAAGAAAAACAACTCTCTGGAAGCTGGTTCCGGTAATTGGCACAAGGACACGGAACCGACTCCAGGTTAAAGTCCGAGTTCCACATAGTTTCTTCCCAAACTTGAAAGTTGTGAAGAAACTTCTTGATGCTCTGATGTGGGGCCTCTCGGAGGCTGTTCTTGGGAACATGAAAAGAAGGAAAAAGATACTTGTACTGGAGAATGGGCATCTTCAGCCGTTTCTCACAGTCCGACATAAAGCTTTCACAAGACAAAGGCAGCACACCCAGAGATCTGGAAGTTCTGGGCCAGTGCATGGTCTTTCGAAACTTGACCACGCCTTTCAACAATCCTTGGATTCTACCTCGATGGGGGTTTTCGACATTCCGACTGAGCTTGATGAGGGCATACACTTCCTCGTCAGCCGTTTTGTTGGATCTGAGAAGCTTCGAAGTTTCGAAGGCTGCTCTCGTACGAGATCCAAGCTTAAACAACAAACCCCAAGCAAACTCACGAGAATCTTTAATGAAAAACTTCCGATTACGGCGATGCAGTCTCTTACGCAGCTTTCGCCATAATCGCAATCCGAAGGTCCCATACAGAGACACTCTGCGCTTGGCAGAAAAACGAAACCCGAGAGCCGTCTTCTTGACGAGACTGGTCGCTCTGGGAAAGTTGAGAGGAGCCTGCCACTGAGCAATCAGCTCATGTTCTGAAATCCAGGCTGCTTGGTAACTGTCATAGGCCTGCACAGGCACCACAACAAACTGAAAGAGATTGTGGTTCGACGACCAGTACCGAAGTGACAATTCGGCATCGACGAACTCTGTTCGCTGGAGTCTTCTGTACACAGCCATACGATTCAAATGTCGTCGGGCAATGCCGATGGCTGTGCTGCCGACATACAACAACGATGATGGTTGAGAATAGCCTGTACGAAAACGGCTGATCTCGAAATCCACCTGAAAAATGCAGTACACCGAGTTTGGCTCTTCGAACTTGGAGTAATGCAGTGTGTCTGGATGCACTCCAAACTGCTGCAACTTCCGGAGAATTTTGGACTGATGACTGTCCAAATTAAAAGCAGATCTGGGTGCTGAAAGATAGAACAGCAGCACCAAGCACATCAATGCATGCACCCAGATCAATGGGGTCTTGGGTATGCCATCCCCATGTTCCAGCATGAAAGCTGCTGCACTTCCCATAGTGCACACAGCCGAAGCAAGTTGCTTACGAACTGCAAAGGGCTGAGAGTGCACTTGCTTGGCCTCAATGGCTAGTCATGCCGCTTCAAACTGGCAGGCACCAATAAATGTTGACAAATTCGCGAACGACATCTTGCTTGCATGGCTTTTCTGCAAGCCATACTTGATAGCTGTGTCAGCAAGATCCTGACGTTTGGTATCCGAGGACTTGAAAAGTAAGCACACTTCGGCCACATGTTTCTTAAAAGCTGCAGCTTTGCCGCGAAACTGGCCCTGATGCTTCTTCAGCCACTTGTCCACAGCATCCTGAGAGCTGGAGGACGGTACCGAGCCCGGTTTGTTGGTGAGCTCCTTCTCAAGAATCTGCTCTGCTGGAGACTTAGCTGCAGCAGTTGGCAAAGTGGGGCCTTTTGAGCTCGGTGTGCTCTTCTGCTGCTTGTCTTTGACAGGAGTAAGGTCAATTCCTGCTTCTTCGAGCTTGCGCTTGGCTTTTGCAAGCTGTTCAGCTTCGGGCGACTGCGAACTTGACGAAGCTGTTGGTGGGGCTTTCGTCTTGATCGTTGACACAATTTCTCCCAGCAGGGGTTGCATAAATCGTGCAGACTCTTTATGCTTGTCTGGGGGTGCCGGGCCATGCATATGTGCTGCCACAGCATCCAAATCAAGTCTTTCTTGCCTGATATGTCGAAGCAGATTGCTGACGAACACTGCTTCCGAAATGGACTTCACAAAGACGATGCTTTGAAACTCTCCATTGGACAAACATCGGAGACTGTAGTCATCAAGACCTTTTCTCGTAAGGTCCGTGACACGAAGGCTAGCAACATCCTTCCCAGCAAGACCACTTTTGGTGGACCAGGGGGTCGACTGAATGTTGCGAAAGAACTTCTTGTTTGAAACTGGATTGGTATCATAGCATTCCCAATCAGAAACAAATGTCGAAGGAATTGAAACACTTGGGCTGGGCACTGAAGGTTGATCTCGCTGCCAGTCACGGTTGTTCCAACCTGACGATGTGTTCTTGTCCCATGAAGAAGAAGTCTTCCACGAGGACTGGGACCAATCCCGGTCACGGTTCCACGCCATGACTTTCACAAAGGATAAAGGGATTGATGTCTCGAAGCTGAAATCGTGGTCTGCGGATAGCAAAGCCGGTGGTTCCATCGGATCTGTTTAAAATCGAGAAATGCAATGAAACCTGGCATCAAAAACTGACATGAAGTCAGCAGCAAAGATAACATCGCGACTGATACAATCGGATGTTCGGAGCTGGTGACATCACTTCGGATGTCAATCACAGGATCCCTGCCTTTATCGTTTCAGACCTGACAGGTATATGCACGGGCAACCCCGCCGCAGGTAGCACGGTAAACGAATACAAGACCAGCTTGCAACTACCTGGTACACACTTGGTAATCCATCTCGCAGCCACTC